TGGAGTGTCCTGAAGTGAGGGTCATTGCCAGCTCATTGCCAGCCCCATACAGCCCCAGAGCCCCCAGGTAAGGTAGTAAGGACAGGAGGGGAAACACAGAGAAATGCCCCAGTGCTCCTGCCAAGGGAGGGAGGAGAGGGACAGACCAACAGGCACTCAGGCCTCTCTCCTCACTGTGGGTCGGGCTGCCAAGAAGACGACTCATCCTGAAACCCCACAACCCTGGTGGCAAAGGTTGTGGTGGGTGTGAGAGGAGGCCAGGAGGGTGCTCCTTGAAGGTATCTGTGCTGCAGAGGATAGCAGGAACACGCCAGAGTCCCCACTCCCATGGTGTTTCTGGGAGCAGCTCCCACACCCTCCCTGCCCGTATCTCTGCTACCTGGAGCTGTCCCTGCTGGGAGCTGTTTTCCTGTCCCCAGGTCTCCTCCCTGTCCATGTTCACAGTCCCCATCCCACCCACTGTGTGCTCAGCTCTGCCCTGCAGACATCTCCTGGCAGCAGGGTACTTCCCAGGGGCATCTCTGTGTGTGCAGGGGCTCAGGAGAAGCTCAAACAAGTCCTGATGAGAACTGAGCTCTCTGTGCCTTTTCCAGAGCAGAGGAATAAAATCCAGTCTCCCATTGCCCACCCAGCCAACCAACAGGAGAAAACTCAAAGCACAAACTCCTTTCCTCTTAGGTAATCCCCATCATGATCTTCCTCTTGAAAAGCCCTCTTGGATATTCCCTAGGGGTAATCTGGAGCTGTAGGCAGCCCTGACCCACACGGCACCCTTTTCACACTGTCCTGTCCTGCCAGGGGTCACTCCTTCCACCCACAGCTACTCCCTGAAGAACCCTGGGGAGCTCCCCAGGCAGGCTGAGCGCTGACCCTGGCTGGCTGCAGAGCCCCTGCCCCAGCACTCAGCCCCTTGGGCTGCAGGGACCCTGCTGGGAAGGACAGCCCTGGGCACCCCTGCCTGCACACCCACCTTCACACTCTGCAGCCATCCCAAGGAGAAGAGGGGGTGAACATTCTATCATGACTTTCCCCTCTGAAGGTGCAGCAAGGAAGCCCTGCTCTGGAGCATGTCCTCCTCCACACCAGAGAAGCCAGGACAGACATCAGTCATGGGATGTGTCAGCTCTGGGAGACCCCTCCAGGCTACTCAGCTGCATTTCCCTGCTGCCAGAGACTTACTGTGTCAAATGCTGTGAAGATGTTTCTGTGAACAAGCTCAGCTCTCTCCGATCACCCCAGACTGCCTTTAACCCCTGTCTGCCTCGATTCTCTTCCCTTGGTGCCTGCAGGCAGTGCCCTCAGCCCTGCTGCGCTTTGCAGAGGAGCTGCTCCTGGGCAGAGCTGTCTCTCGGCAGCGCTGCCCACTTGCCATCAGCTCCCTCCATCCCAGGACCCCAGCCCAGCTCAGCAGCACCGGACCAGCCCAAGGGCGTCCGTGCTCAGCC